TTTTGCCCACCTTCACTTGCACCACACAGGCCAGTTTTCTTTAGGGCAACAAAACAACAAAACAGCCAGGAGGAGGAAAACATCCGCTGCAGCCTTTACTGCTAAGATGAATTACAAATCATGCGTCGCTGAGCCTGAGTTTGAACCCCCTGCTACCGTGAGAGAGAGTTAGGTAACAGGGAATCATGGAGCAGTGTGGAGGACAGGCCTATGCTCGGCCACTTCGTCAGGGGTTCAAGGTAATGACAGCCAGGCACGAGTAAAACCAGAGCGCTGAGAAAATAAGCAGCATCTCACGCATCCAACTCACGTATAGTACTGCCAGCCATGCTAATGCACAGTACACTCAGCAGGGCAGCTGCAGACCCAACAGCCTATATTTTATTCAAATGCCACAGCAATCTATTTTAAATATTACATATGTATATGTAAAATAAATGAATGTCTTCTGCAAAATCGCTTTGAATACGATGCTGAGTCAGAAGCTGACGCCTCTGACTGTCTCTCATGGAATATCATGACCCTTATGTGCACCTGAACTTCTTCTACTGTGTCCTGAGTGCAGCCAATGAAGGTCATTAAAACCTAGTTGACTGTCTGGTTTACGAGGGGATCAAATGATATGATCAAACTGACATCATATTTGCTGTCGGGCATATGCAGGCATGCACGGCCACTCAGGTCAAGCTGCACCATAGATGTGTTGTGCAACAGATTCTGCAGTTTTTATCTTCTCATCCTGGTGTGTGTTTTTTTAAAGAGAAAGAAAAATGATCTGTTAAAATTGTGAAACTGGTGTAAGCTAATGTTGGATAACGCAGTGAAACTGGCAATACTGAGTCACTTGACTGGATTTGCTCTTTTCTGCAGGATAATATTAAGCAAATATCAGAGCCCATCAGTTATCGTCTGACAATGATTTAGTCTCCGGGGGCAACGGCAAATATTTGATCAGAAAACGTATATCCAGGCCAAGACTCCGCCCCCTGTGCCCTACAGTGTTTACAGCCCAAGTTTATTTCATCAGCATGTTTCTCCACTCAGGTAACGATACTTAACGATACTCGAGACGGTATTTTGGCTGATCTCTGTAAACAGCGACCAGCTGAAACGTGATTGGTCGAGCTATAAACAGAAAACAGAAGGTTTCCGGCCCCAAAATCTTGTCCCTCGCCGACAGATCCTGAATATTAACATGCAGAATCTTTTTTCAGAGATTAATGTTGGGCTATGCCTTTGTTTTGTCGCTACCAGGAAACATTTCGCTTACTTTGGATTGCTGTGGAAAAAACAAAGACAGTTCAAGGAGCACCTTTGAAAATGTTCGTCTCTCTCTGTGATAATTGCACATGCTTGTCATTCTGGTAGAAAGTGCCGACCATGCGAACCAAATCCAAATGGCTAATTAAACATTTTAGTTGTACTTGTTTTTGTTTGCGACATTTATCAAGGCTTCCTGCTGCTCGAGCTCGGCACTCCTGTTGATGCTCACTTATCAGGTGACACAAAGATAAAATTCTGCTGTGGTTATTCTGCTGTACATATCCTTCTAATCTGTAGTTTTTATAGCCTCTTGATACCAAATTAAGTGTCAGCGTTATCTCGAGCTTTTCAAATAAAATATGACCAGAGATAAAAAAAAAGTCTCTTAATTGGACAACATGAGCAGCCTGCAGTGGTTCACCTTACTACTGTATCGCATTCATCAGGCTTAATATCACTGATATTTCCTGAAGAAGCCAAAAGTTGTTGTTTAGCAAATTAATGAGCATCGGATTTATGACTGGAGCCAAGTGGCTGATAAATAAACGGCACAGGTGAGAGGGTTTCATCTCGAGCAGCATTTTCTAATCAACGCTGTGGGAAAATCATTTATATTTAAGGTTGTGCTCTTGTGGATTGGCAGTTGCATGGTTGTGTGTGGGTGTCGAAGTGAATGCAGTTATTCATTCCCTGCTTTCTGCGTGTGTGTAGTGTCCTGCATGGTTTAGATTGAAATGTCCAAATCATTGAAACATCTTTGCATTTGCACAAAAGGACGATACACACATAGTCACACTTGGATGAATACTCCCTCACACCTGCGCTTCTTTGCACACACGTGACGACGCACCTGAGGTCACGTGACGATTTGTATCGTCACGCCACTGAACTCAAATCCGAACGAGACGGATTCTCATGCAGTGAAGGAAGTTGTTAAATATAAGCGGCGGCGGCAGAACACACAGTCTCAGAGAGTCTCTGTCCACGGAGGGGGACACTGGCACCCTTATGAGCGAGCTCGGCAGAGAGATGAGAAACTTTGGCAGCCGATGCATCAGCCAGCACAAAATGAAGCCCGCCTCATCCAAGAGCATTAAGATGTGGATAAATAAATAAAACATTGCCACCATGAGAGGAGCGGCAATGTGACAGCGGGTTTTTTTTTTTCTTCTTCCTGCTTTCATGTTGGCAGGCGCAGATATTTTATTTTGGGATGAATCAAAATTTCCTGAAAACGCCCGCGCCAGGTGTATCTAATTATCTGACAGCGCATCCTCATTATGAATGGGCCTCCGGGAGTCGGCTGCTCGGCTCGCCAAGCCTTGGACCGCAATCAAGGCGTCCCTCGCAGTAAAAACACAGGCACTATAGAGCTGCTACTTTTCCATAGGTGTCCTTCTTTCAACCTTTTTTTTTTTTTTGCTGAGAAGTGGTCAATATATTGTAATTCTACGCACGCTTCTTTTTGTAGGTCTAAGTATTATGATTGTGGTTTCACTTTGGATAAACTGCATGTAGACTAGTCTAGTCTACGAAAAATGCAATGCAAGAAAAAGCTATAAATGTATTAGCTGCAGTTGCGACGCCCCCTTGCCATCTCAGCCATGCCCCGATTATGTCACCTGGATGAAGTTTATAAAGCGTAATTACAGCTTACTCCTTGTTTCTCACCAGGGAGATGCAGCAGGCAGAGGAAAAGTGGGTGTGTTGTCAACACAGTCACACAAGAGCAAACCCGCGTTAATTAACGAGAGGGGGAGATTTGCAGAAATGCAGCTATCTAGCTGGCAATGCAATCTGTGGCTCTCGGGGTCGATGTAAAAGAGCGTGTGCAACTGTGAGCGAGCAGCCCCCGTTTCCTCTGCCTAGTACTAATAGCCCTTTCACAAATCCCATCCAACGGTGATTGATGTGGGCCTGGAGAGTAGTTTTGGGAGTGTCACTCAAACAGGAGGACAAAGGGAATTTTTCCCAAATGTTGCCGGTTTATAAAATGGGAAAGCGCTGCTGGGTAAAGGGTGGCGGGGGACGTTCTTACCTGGGACTAATCCTTGAAAGCTTTGCAAGAAAATTTACCGCCTGACAGCAAACGATTCAAATCCACTTCTGTTACACGCGGGGAATACTGGCCTAAAGGATGGCTGCATTTTCAACATTTCCTCGCGTCGCTTCTTTTTTGTTGTTCAAGCAGCCGTGCTATAAAAACGAGGCAGATGTGTATTTGTCTTTTGTTTATCTTCCTGTTGGATTTGATTATTTCCACATGAATACAGGCAACATTAGGTTTTTATATTTGTTTCTTTTTCCTTGTTGCAGACTAGAGTTTTCATTCATGTCAGTGGTGTTTCTGTATTCCTCAGTGCAGAAACACAAGCATAGATAGATAGATGGATGGATGGATGGATAGACGGATGGAAAGACCCAAGGACAACATAAGTGAAGTTAATTCCAGGCTTAATGACGTAGAAAAACGATAATGAAACACCAGCTCACGGCACAAACAGCTTGATATCAAAACACCATTTATACCATAACTAAAAATAGCTAATGTGTGTTGTTGAGTCATGTAAACATGTTTGTACGTGTTAACTTCCAAGTGGCCACCTGTTACAGTTTCCTGTCCTGCACGCTTCCCACTCGGTTCCTCTTGAAATGCAACAGTAGCCTATCTCTCGCCCTGCCTCATGACTGGCAGACCGTAATGCTATTACCTCTCCTCCATGGTCATGCTCACTTAGCCCTCTATCACTCCACACAAGCCAAGGAAAAGACATCTCCCCGGCAGTGTGTGCTGCCCTCGCCCTCATATGCGATTTGCTTTCTCCTCGGCTCGGCTCGGCCACAAAACATTGGAGCACACAAACTTTTCAGTTCATTATCTCGCCTTTTAGTGGCTTTTCCACTTATTTTGCCTGCAGGGTATGACTGCAGATCATTGGTAATTGGCTATATATATATATATATATATATCACTTGTCAGAAGTGGTCTGACAAATACTCTTTAATACACAGAGGGGGGGATGTTTAAGCGTGGGGATGTGGTAACTTCCAAACACAACAGGCTGGGATAGGTTGGGAGGACATGTGGGGACACGCTATTACGCATGACGCATGTCAATCACCAAATCTGACATCGAGAATATGTCAGATAACAGGAGCAAAATGGGTCAACTGGGTGAGTCAGAGCCCACCCACCGTCTGCGCGCACCCTAGGCAGGACTCCTTGGAGACGTGCACGCACACACGCGCGCAAGCATCCCAAACGTCCTCCAGGAGCCAGAAACCAAACGTGAAACCAAACTTTCTCAGCACGTCCCAGAACCATTACGCACAGAACATCCCACATTGCCAAGACGGTTTGCGCGTCCCTGATCCTCCATGAGGGGGGTGCAGCCAAGCCGTCGTTTGGGGCAAAGATGGCTCTGGTGTGTGAGCGCAGTGTGTGTGTGTGCTATAAATGATGACGATAAAAAAAATTATGTATCTCGCCACCATCTGGAGCGTAGCGGCGAGCAGCAGACCGGTGCACGCCGGGCGCTACATTATCCATAACGCAGCTCGGAGATATGCAGAAATATGCGCCCCGGGCACCTACTCACATCGCGGCACGACACATAACTTGAAGTCGAAACACAACCCAACACTTAATTCCACACATGCAAAACAAGAGCAGCTCCTTTTAGGCTGCAAATCACACAGTTAAAAGGTGCAGGGGGGAAAAAAGTCTATGCACTTACTATATACCCAGGCGGTAGAATGCAAAGCCCCGGTAACTGTAATTAAAAATAGAAGAATGGGGACAAAATGAAGGATGCGCTTTTCTTTAATTTATCCTTACATGTGTGGTAGAAATTGCTGCATGCATTGGATTTTTTTTTCTCTCGTGCACTTACCGGAGCTGTCCGATATAAATTCCTTAGGAAATTCCAGAGGAGTCCCTTCCTTTCTTCCCTCAAAGTCAGAAAACAGCAATGCTTTTCTTTATTCCAAAAACAGGCCCCCGGTTGAAACTGAAAGAGAGGAGAGACCGAAAAACAGCCACAACAAATTCCATTAGAACCTGGAGTGCCCCCATCACCAACCCCAAAAGTGTTGACATAACTGTGCAGAGCAGCAAACCCCCCCACCCCCCAAAAAAAGAGAAAGGAGGAAAAAAGAAGTCGTTATAAATGGTCGGAATGGACAGTTGGTACCTGCTCTCTTTATCACTGTCGACAAAGACAATGAGAGCTGCAATAAGACGCGCAGGAAAACTGAGAGAGCTGAGCTTTTTTCTTGGGAAACGCAGCCCCAGCGTGCAGGCAGATCACACCAGCGCGCACACACACTCACTCACTCACGCAGACACACACACACACACACGTGCGCGCACACACACAGCTCCCGGCGACGGATGGAGAGAGAGGGAGGTGGAGGAAAGAGAGAGGAGACATGGGATGCTGCGCTCTGAGCTGCACTTCTCGCTCCAGCCGCTGGGTGGCCAACAGGAGGCGCAGCTCACACCGGGTGATGTCCCTCCCATAAAAAAAAAACAATTAAAACCCAAACCAGTTCTTATTCTGATCAAAAAAACTTAAGTTTAAGTTCTTAATGTTGATTATTTCTATTATAGCAGCTCCACTGCAACCTACAATTTGATCCTGTATAAAAATATATTATAATTTCAATTTGATAATACTTACTGGAGGCTATTTGTACTTCATTACAATTCAGGACATATCCAAGTTTTTCTCACCTTTAAAAACATATAATGGACAGACTGAACAGTGCATGCAAAAGATTATACATTTTAAACATCTGTAAAATGCTGTATATCCATGCATTGTTGACAGTAATAAGAAGTATACAGTATATTACTTGCAGTGGTATTTTCCTGAAATATGTGTAACCAATTCTTTTAACAATATCTTAACACGTGAATGGATTGAGTTTCTTCAAAATAAAGTTAAGAAGTTATATTTACACAATTGATCATTTTAATTTGGACTAAATTGACAAGTTAAATGCAATACATTTACAACTATTTTCCATGTTTAAGTTTGTTGCCTTGTGGTGATTTAACTTATAGAAGGAAAAGCCAGATGTAGCTTGTAACATTAACACTGCCTCATTTCAACTGAATGTTCATATTATTTAATACATCGCAAGTGACAAATTTAAAAATGGTGACGTGTGGTTGTAGCAGCTGTGGGTTGATGGGATGTTTACGTTTGCGACATTGGTGCTAATTTATGTGCGTTTGCAAACAGTATTAACAGCTACTTCCGTGCAGTGAGCAGTGGACTGCGGTGTGCATGATGTCGTGGAGTTGTTTAGAGTCTGCACATGAAAAGGAGTTCACCTCAGGTGTAGCGTTATGCAGAATAAGCCTTTTTCACAGACGTGTCACAGTAAGAAAAGCAAATAAGTGTAAAAACACAGGCACAGCAGTTCAGATGCTTGTAAATAATAACATTAAATATGGCTGATTTGGTTTCAGGGTCCTTGTGTTGTTCACTGTCACACCAACCCCTGCGTTTTCCCATATGTGTGTGCTGTGAAAAATGGTTTATGACTAAAAGCAATCAGGATTTTTGTGTGAAGTACTGTATGTGGTAAACATGTCCGTCTTTATATACAGTCTATGACCTGGACAAACACGTGGATTATGCTGCGGAATTGCTTTCAGAAGTTTCTTGGAACTGTTGAAGATTTTTTTTCTCTCCATCCATCGCCAAATCCTTTGTCACTCGTGTGAACTGAAGCCACAATGATTGATTTCTGTGTAGGAGAAAACTTCAGCATTTTCAGAACGTCTCAAGTAGACAGGCAGTGATTGTTGGACACAGTTTTGATACTCGGCCGAAGGTATAGAAGACATGTGAAGTGTATTGTGTACATTAAATACAAGTAGAGGACAGTGAAACAAACGTGGAAGGTTATTATGAGGTGGCATGGTGGTGCAGGGGTTAGTTCAAGACTGTTGGTTAGAATCCTGGTTCAGCCTTCATGTGTGGTGTTTGCATGCTCCTCCGTGTCTGCAGGGGTTCTCTCTGGCTTCCTCCCACAGTCCAAACACATGCAGAGTGGGGGCAGGTTAATTGGTGACCCTTTATTGACTGTGGGTGTGAATGTGACAGTGAATGGTAGTTTGTCTTTGTATGTCAGCCCTGTGATGGCGACCTGTTCAGGATGTACACCGCCTCTCATCCAATGTCAGCGGGGATTGGCTCCAGGACCCCACGCGACCCTTAAGGGATAAGTGATATAGATGATGGATGGATGGACTGCACCAGTTCAGTGTGTGATGCACAGATACATCTATGACTGATATTGAGATATTAATAATATCAATCACAAGGAGAAAAAAAGAATCACAGTCTTTACAGACACAAGAAGAAAGAACATTTGTCTGCATTAGAATGTAGATGCACAAAAAAAACTCATTCATTCATCAGGTAATTAATTCTGAGGGATACATTTAATCACTGTATTTCTTTACAGACACGTGATAGACCAAAGCTTTGCAGAAATGCATCAATGGCAGAAGGTCTTTGCATCAGGAAACCATGTTTTTCAGATCAATGTTCATAATGAGAGGCACATTAGTGTTCAAGCTTTTGCATCAAGTAGACCTGGATTCATTTTCCAGTCACACGTTCAGATCTCAAGCTGCTGTCTGGGGATCTGACAAGAATCTTCATCAAACCCAATCAGCTTTAAAGTCTTTTTTTTTTTTTTAAATACAGGCTGATGTGGTATCTCTTATAATGATTTCACCAAATTTACTTGCAGATAACTCAGGGCATGTTAGCTACATTTCCCTAACTGCAATTGAGACCATTGGGTTTTGCATGGAAAGTAGTTTTGTTTCTAGGAGTGTTTGTCACTGCATGCATAGAAATATCTGTCCTTTGAGAGGATTCTACCACACTACTTCACTTTCTTCCTTTTGAGTTTCTGTTGGTTTCGACCTCATTGCAATAACGGTCACTGCTCCTGGACAAGAAATATTCTGCCACATCATCCCCGGCAAAACCACACGCTTTGGGGTTTTGTAAAGATTAACCAAACAATATGTAATGCCTTGCTTAGTGAACTTTCGAGTTGCTGGGTCAGGCTCACCGTTTCCCCCTGCTTCCACTATTTGCACTCAGCTAAAATGGTTTCTGGCAATACTTTTTATTATTTAAGGGAGAGATATGAGAGCATTGCAAATCTTCTTATCTTACTATTCCTCTATTGTACTAACATGGCCTTTGCACCACTCTGGGGTCAGACATTCTTTACCTTCCTTGTGGAATAGAAAAAAGCAAATCCTCATCCAGATCCACTATGAATTCCTCTTGTTCTTATTATATCTTTAAGTTTAAGTGATTATGTTTATTGTCTGAAACAACCTTGCTGCAGAGATTGGTCCATTAAATGTGTTCATAACACTGTACAGTTATAGAGCTCTCTCATTCAGACTGAGCTATTTACACGTAAATAAACACTCTCATGGCTTATAAGCGTAAAATACCCACGCAGACTGTTAGTAATTGTTAAGCAATGCTGTGTGAGGCAGGACTTCTAGTGCAGATAAATCTGACCTCAGGTGAAGAATTGGAAATTTGATAATTAACATCCTGAGTGAAAGAAATAGCATTCACTGCCAGTCCTTCATTTCTAATCTGCCTAACTCTGCACGTGATCTTGGATTTGGTCCATGTTTGGTGCAGTGTTTGACGTTGTCTGCAGAAAGGTGTCGTGATGCCTCGCGTGAGCTCTGTGCCATTAATGTTTCACAGAGCTCAATTTGTACCTATAATTATGCCGTGTTGGGGCAGCCCTTGCGCTCAGCAACATCTGTCCACTGAGAGACAGACCCTCTAGGCTGAATGGGAAACTGGATACCAGGCCATGCTTCCCTTATGATAAACAAGGTCACGGTGATAATCCATTGACTCACTGACACAGTCAGTGGACTGAACTTCCTCACACAGCCTCCATCCATCCTCCTCTGTACAGCTGCCTAGAGGTGTGAGCCTTGGATTCATCACCAGGCTGCAGGAGGAGAGAGTCTCAGTTTCCACTGCTACTGTTACTGTAGCCGTTTTCAGACATGACCTCCGGAGAATGTCCTCTGAAGTTGAGTTTGCCTTTCACACATGAACATGCAGCACATTCAGACACAGAGATGTGGATGTAATGTATTAATTCTGCTGTGGAGATCATTTGTTTTTGTTTAGTGGAACCAGTTTCGGCTCTTATCACTTAAAGCTCTCTTCATAGCTTTGGCGGCTTAATTTTTGCGTCTGTCGTGTATTAGAAACATCATTAAAACACCCACTCGCTCGCAGTGAATCCTGCCGAGGATCTCCTGCTGTTTTCCCACATTGGTTCCTCCAGCCTGGCCAAAGGAACGTTAAAGGAGGAGCAGAGACTCCATGGATAGTCCAGGTGGCAACTGACCTGTACCGACTTTGAGATGGCAGCGTAGTGACCAGAACGCTGCAGAGCTGTGTGAGGTCAGCAGCAACCTCGCCAGCTTGTCTCCTCTTTGAGTGATGGCAGTTTACAGATGGCATTTCTTTGAACGCTGCCATCTTACATGCAGCCGTTCCTGTCAAGGAGTTTGTGAACTATAAACACTGAAAGGCAAAAGGCAGCTGAGTTAACTCACTTTGGAAGAATTGTGTTGGAGGTGGAGCTGAAATCCTTAAATGGGACCCTGATGTGAATCCATAATTGATAAAGCAGCGTGTCCTGTGAGTAAAACTTTGAGGATAAAGACGAAGATCGGAACTGAATTTAAAGCAGAAGTTTGAGACGCTTGTAAGTTTTCATAACCACTGATCATCCAGTTTTTTTCTCTTGGAAGAAAAAGTTGCCCTTAGGTCTCCATTTCTGTTCTCAGGCTTCCTGCTCACTGTTAGTTAGGATGGATTTGGGCCGACAAAAAGCTGCTATTGAAGTATAACTCTCAACTTCAAAATAACCTTGGAATTACACCATTATCCCACTGCCTTGCCTCATCTCACTCACACACACACACCACTCTGCAGTGTCTGGAGCGAAAGCAGTAAAGTAATTATCGGGAATACTTTATTTTTCCAAAGCTACATGCGTGGACATAAGAATGTTTCCTATGTTCACAGGGTTTGTGGAAGCAATCATCTCTCTTGTAAATACAGCGTCTGTTATCGAAACTCATCCAGTTTATTCCAATAATTATTTGTAAAAATGGCTCAAATGGGAGGCTTGTATGTATCACTTGTCGGTGTTAGATCATCCATTGGGTTTGGGCGGCTTGGTGTAACCTTTGTCTGTCACCGAAGGTTGCACTCTACACATAGGGGAGCTGAATTGCAAAAGTGCTCTTGACCTTCTGTGGATGTGTGGTGAATGTCTCG